ACTGATATCATGACCATCGACCCACGCAATTGGGATACGATGACATGCATCAACCAAGTCAGCGAACCTTAACACCCGATCCCGTTAGTCGCCTCTTATGAAAAGCATAGTCGCCTCTTACAGCAAGCATGGGTTGCTGAAGACCTGTTCTACCCCGGATCTTCACGGGTATCGACTTGATGATTGGTTTCTGTTGTTGCAACACACACTTCATGGTTCAGTGGCTTGTAATTGCTACCTATGACCCCTGTTTCTACTTGAAAGTGGATACCGAGTTGGAGTAGTCAAAATAGGAAACTGATTGTGGTACCCTGCTGGCGACAGCTTGACTCATTAAACCGTTGAGAGTGTTGCCATTGCATCAGCTACACGTGTCTGTTCCTAGTCAGCGCGGTATACTGTGTTATATCCCATCTGTGCAATATGAGGTGAAGTTACTCTACGTGGGCGTTATCTAACTGGTTTTATAGGTCGTAACACATCCGCACCCTTCAGGGCGATACATCATCCCTGCAACTATCAACAGTTCGACCTAGGTTAATCACGACCCTTTCAATCAACGCTGAATGGAACCGTTGTTGTTCAAAAGTATGTAAATGGATTGGCATTTTTTAAACAAATGTAAATTGAGACAACTGAATATTGCTTGAAGCAGAAATGCATTTATAAGTTATTGCCTACGTATACACGAACCACACGTTTTGGGTGTGGACAGACAATGTCGTACATATATGTTTCAGACACTGAAGGTTCATCAGTTTGGGCCCATGTTTCTGCTGTCTCTGAAAGGATTACTGAACGCTTACAGTTCATCTGTAGTCTTACAGACCCTGATACAAATATATATCAAATACAGCCCATGCAAGTCTATAATGTTTGGCAAGTCTTGATTACTGCAGTATCAATGAAAAATGAAGAGAGTAACTAGGCTCCCTTTTATTATATTTTTATTAAGGTAACTGAACAACTGTTTTTTTCTGTACGATATTCATTTCAGGGACTAGATGTTAGTCTGAGTTCATCTGTATCAAATACACCTTTTGCATATCAGAGTGAGTGAGTATGGTTTTATGCCGCTTTTAGCAATATTCCAGCAATATCACGGCTGGGGGCACCAGAGCTTCACACATTGTACCCATGTCGGGAATCGAACCCGGGTTTTCGGCGTGACGAGCGAACGCTTTAACCATTAGGCTACCCGACGCCCCTTGCATATCAGATCAACAGACATGACGTCTGTAGTTGGTTTTGCGCATGTCTCAAATAGAGTGAGAGTGATGTGGTTGGTGCCTCTGTTGGCAGTATTTCGGATATTTGTCATGTCGCGTCAGCTGTGAGTGTGTGGGAGAGCAGAAGGTCGGTGGTTCTATCTCTGCCGTGTTATACCAATTGTCACTCGGTATTCTGAAGATAAAACAAAGACTCGGGTCGGAGTATACAATCTCATTATTATCTCGCCACCGCTAAACAAAGATCTGAGGACATCTCATTACGGGTTTCGTCTGAACGACATTTCGCGAACTTTGACCGACCAAAGAAATGGCTAACAAGAAGTCTTAAACTGCGGAATGGTGCTTGTGTGGGCTAGTACTACAAAACCGGTATTAGTCCGGACTAATACCAGCACGCACGCACTCACTCACGCACACACGTGCATACACGTCGCCTTAGGAGTTCATTTCATTCGGGCCGATAGCCTACACCCGCCGACCTGCTTATAGCAACTTCCTGAAAGTCATGCAATCAAATCCCATCTTCCAAAATCCATGTGACTACCTCCCTCTTTTTAAAATCACATACGAACCTACAATTCATGGAAAACGTAGAAATACTATTACAATACACGTTCGAAGTTTCACACAAACTGGACGGGCGGGTAGCCTAGTGGTTAAAGCGTTCGCTCGTCACGCCGAAGATCCGGGTTCGATTCCCGACACGGGTACATGTGTGAAGCCAATTTCCGGTGTCCCCCGCCATGATTTTGCTGGAATATTGCTAACATATTGTAAAACCAACTCTCTCGCTCAATCAAATCCAAATATTATATATATCTCATATATTATCCTGGATCCGGTTCTGTTATGACTGACTTCAGCATGTTACTTGTGATACTGCTGTCCTCCTGGTGACTTGCGTGTCTCTCCAGTGTTAACTTATCAGATTAACGCTGTTAGCCGGGAGTCAGGCGTTACATGACTGCCCTGCGACAAACCGGTTGTTGAGGGATTGTCGCGTGTGTGATAACACTTCATTATACTCCGGTCGGGACAAATCGGGTTAAAGTATTTCGTAAAGTAGTGTATTATGCATCACTTATTGCTACAATTACCTGTGACAGCAATATGTTTATAATCTTGTAGCGCTAACAACCGGAGGTATGTTCGTTGAGCTCAGTCAAGTCAGTTTAAGTGTAGTGATTGAACGAGCAACATGCGTGAGTACTGCGTTTCTTGAGACACGATTGATCATGCATGCATAATGCCAGTTAGAAAGTGGTCAAATGTAACAAATGTCATATTTGAGATAACACTTTCTTAGTAAAGTACAGATTCTAGTACCTTTCTGAGTTGAGTCCCATCCAGGCTTATAACCCACACTAGTGTGTGGGACTCAACCCCCCAAAAAGTACTAGAATCTGTAATATGTGTTACATGATTGAAACAATGTAAGTTATTTGCGGATTATAAAACCAGCTGAAACAAATAACTTTGCTTATAAACATACACTGACAACTGACTGTCAGGCTCATGTTTAGGACTGAGAGGTTGGTGTCTCTCTTCAAATAAGCCCGTAACAAGCTTATGAGGCCAACACCAGCTGATATCAAAATCAATGGGTTTTTTAATGTTTGTAGAAAACATGGTCAAGGGTAACTGTTTTTGTAATATGTGAGATAATCAGTTATCTTAACAGTTTGATGAGGGGAATACAGAAGTATGGAAGCCGTCAACCAAGATGATAGTAAAGGTTTATACCGCTGTTTGATCAAACTGAAGTCCTTATTTAGTTTTGGAGGGAGGCTTATTTATGCACTGGTGGCCCAGTCGTCTAAGGCGCCGCGATTCGCTGAGCAGAGTTGCGTCCCTTGGGCACGCCAGACACCTATGATTGTGGGTTCGAATCCCGGTTAGCCCCGATTATGTTTCTAGGTTTGTCAGCACCATACCCGTGCTCGTTGGCTTCACTACAGTGGTAAACGTCTAATACCTGCATCACTTCGGGCTTTCCTAACACATTAAGCTGACACGCCGTGATATAACTGGAATACTGTTAAAAGCAGCGTTAAACCCAACTCACTCACTCACTCTGATCTATTCTGCATAGTCGTCCTTCCTTTCAATGTAAATCATTCTTTTCATAACCTTGCCCGTTCGTGTATATCATATTGAATCTTCATGGTTATTTTTCATACAAGCAAGTTAACGCTTCAACCAAACAGAACTGTACATGTATGTCCTAATACCATAATGCCATGCATTGTACCTCACATATTTCTTGTATATATATATATATATGATATATGCATGGTATACAAGAAATATGTATAGTACAATGCATGGCATATATTTGGCACGGTATATGTATGGTATAAGCACGTATGTGTATGTACACTATAAAGTAATTCCGACTGGTATATGCATAGCATTTGTATGGTTTACATGTGGTATAGGTTTAGTATGATTTAGTATATATGTATGATGGCACATGTATGATATAGGCATGCATGTATATGGCAAATGCATGGTATGTGTGTATGGTATATGCATGTATATAGGTGGTATATGCACTATGTACCAGTATACTGCCGGGCAAAGAAAGTAATCCCTCGCGTGTATCTCCAGGTGATGTGAGCTGATTGAGAGGGACAGGATATTCTATCGAGATTAGATTTTTTTATCTGAAGATATGAGCCTGATCTGTTTTAAGAAGTACACCTTGAAAAATGTCATTTTTGAGGCAGGCAACATCTTTTTTCACCAGTTTGAAGCATAATTATTTTTTTCAAGCATTATCGGGGACAATGTACGTTATGCCGATAAAATCACAGCTCCCCCTCCCCCCACCAATATGAAATGGTTGGTCCCTAAAGAGGCACTTTATTATTCGCCAGTTGAATTATGGACCATGATTTTCACTCTCCATGTGAACACCTGAGTACATAAACCGCTCAAAGCCAATTAAACTCAAACGTCCATTTCCGTCACACCCTGCTGGGTGTTTGATATGAACGTAAATGTCAAGATCACAACATGTTTTTGTTCGAAAGACAGGAAGGCGATATCGTAAATATGATTATGAGTTATTAGGGTTATAACAAGTGTAGCTCCAGGCGAAATGTTGAATATATGTTTGATTGATGATAAGAAAAAAGCAGTAAAAGTCGAGACAAACCAATGATCAAACCTTCTGAACAATTTGAACGTCACATTTACTCGATGACAGTGAAATCTGTCGCCAAGGAGAAAAGCAATGGAGCGAGTATATCACCCTGCAGCGATCCTTGCAGCGACGCAATTAACTGGGCCAGATGTACCATTACGCTGGGTTACTTACTGTGATTACGAACTCAATGAAGCATAGCCAAAGCAAAAGGCCCTGTTAGGGTGGCAAAATGGAAATGCAATTTCAATAATAATATACCCGTATGTGTAAAACACTAAGAGAGGGGCACGGGTTGATGATAATGTCTCATCCTTATAAACATTGTTATTTTGTGTTTATAGGATTTTTTTAAGTGAGTAAAAGTTAACCTCGCATCGGCTTTATTTCAGCCATGTAGCGACGAAGATACTTACTCGCGACAACATATATAATGGTAGTTTTATGAAACCTCATTAATTGAATAAATATGCATTTCAAAAGGCGAAACATTGTTATAATAAGCATATGATATAATTTTCATGTTGTATGACATGATCAGTGATATTCCTTAAATATTTTGATTGAATAAAACCCTTCATGGGCCCCCTTCATTTTTCATTTTGTTTTGATAGATGATTGGTGATCACGCTTGGTTGGCAACCATATCTCGGTCCCTGTCTCCCTCTGACACCATTACAGACACAAGCGAGCTGGAGATAAGTCCTGTATCGTCTCACCAGGATATAACTGTCAATATACCTGTCTGCTTGCACCTACCAGTGACTGCAGTGGCGACAAGGCCCTGGCATGATTGAAGATAGATGTGTGTGATATTGAACACAGACTGCCTTTAGAGATGAGACTTTTGTGAAGGAGGTCTATAGATGTCCTTTGTGTCTTCAGAGGAAGGACTACTATTTCAGAGAAAAAAACTATTTTTAACTGTGTTTGATGAGAAGATGGAGTGGTCAGGAGATGCTGATTTGAATTTGGGATCTAGTTCAGTACCGCGTGATGTTGGATCTGGTACAGTTCTGAGTGATGTGGGATGTGATCTAAACCAAAGTGACGGCGAAAAGAAAGCTTGTTCAGCAAGTCCAGGGGGAGATATGTCTTCCAGTGTTGATATTGGGGTGATTAACAAGAAAGATGAGTTCGACTCTTGTCCAAAAGAGGGTGAAGTTAGTTCTGGAGCATCTGTGAATGGAAACGGCGATGTTTCGAGGAATGAGGGGACTGACGTGGACGCCGTCAACTCAATATCAGAGCAGGCTTGTGAACAAAATGACGCGAGAGACAGTGTGGATGTTGACGCCACACCTGAGTTAACGGAAACCCCAAGTGAGACTACCAGCGGCACCGTGAAACAAGATGATCCAGATATTAATGGAAATTCAGCCACTGAACAAGACAATAACCTTTCTAACACCGCTACTCCAACGCCTCTCACTAAACAACATTCTAACGGCGTTAAGAAAGCCCCCATCAAGAGAACGGCCTCAATACCCACAAAACTGCCTCTTTCCCGCAATAGTTCCAGAACGTCAAGCGGTAGCTCTTCCCCAGCGAGCCCTGGTGCCAAACCTATGTCCAAGAATATCCAAGGGAAACAAGAATCTTCAGTAAATGGGAATAAATCAGCCGACGTTTTATTAACGTCAGACAAAGGTCAAGGTCAAGCTTCACCAGAAACCAGCAAACGTGCTCTGAAAAGAAAACCGTCAAAGTCGAAACTGCCTATAAGCAGTGGCACGCCCACTAATGTACCAAACACGCCTCCGTGCACACCACAACCGCACTTACTTGGGAGACAAACGTCAAATGAGAAATCTCCGCCATCACCTGTAGATGTGAACCTAGTTCCTAGCCGAAAAAAGTCTACTTCCAAGCTTCCTATCACAGAGTCCCCCCAACCAGCCCCTCCCGTTACATCCACACCGGACCCAAAGGGAGGTCCAGCTTCACCCCCAGCAGCAGACATACCCCCCATCACTCCCCAGAAGGTTACCCCGGGACCGAAGAACGCCATGACCCCCAGAAGGATCATAGAGGAAAACGAGGCTTGGAAGGAACAGGTCAAACAGGTAGGAGTTGTTTAAAGTTACGTTCATATAGCGGGCAATGTATTAATCGACACTCACCAGAACCTGATCGATTTAAACATTGTTCTGTTTTCTCACTTTTTGCATATACTGCACTGTAAAAGAAACTGTGCACACGAGTTTATCATATGCAAAGTTTCCTTTGGTGCCTAGTGATTTGTATATCCTCGGCACAAAAAGAAACTGTGCACATGGTTGTATCACATGCACAGTTTCTTTTTCGCCTAGTGCCATATACACATTTGTACTCGTACCATGTATACTAGGCACTAAGATAAATGATACAATCATATGCACAGTTCTTTCTGTAAGTGGTATATTAATCAACATGGCTGACTCTGAAGTGTATAATCAGTTTTGACAATCACTTCGAAATTTGATGACATAGCTCCAAGAGGAATAGCTGGATTAACATTCTTCCGATTTTATTGCTTTGGGGATTATAGTAATGTCCTTATAATTCTGTATAGATGGTCCAAACAACTGCCGCCCGGAACACGGGTCGTGCGTGTTAACGTGGTCTGGATCATCAGGTTTCACTTTTAGCTCCTCAGCAAATTGGGTTGACAGTAAGCCTACAGCATTTAGCAGGATGGGCGACCAACTCCCATAGTAGTGCAACGGCATTGATGGATGTCCACACTATCGATAACTAGTTTGCTTATACCAGACTCAAACTGTTTTCCAGAACGCCACGACATATGAGAATTTATGTGACTGCTAGGTTAAACGTTTATACAACCGAGAGTGTATACAGTGACAGAGTCAGATGGGTATCGCAGGATTTAGCCTTTAAATTAGGAGATAAATGCTCCGTGTTTTAATGTGGAGCTAGCCTACCTCTATACCGCGATAAATTAGAGTTGGAACTGAAAGCGCATAGTAACTATATAAAAGTAGATATCAGTGTCTCCAAATCACAAAGATTGAGAAAAAGAACTTTTGTATGTAGCCGTCAAATTAGCTATTTCAGTCAGAGATGGCCATTGAGATTTGAAACCTCCAATTGACCAATCAGAATCCATTATTTTCCAAACCCACAGCATAGCAGACTGTAAAATATAAATGAAAGAGAAAACGTTCAGTTGCACTTATACCTAGCTCCTATAACTACGAGGAAGTGAATCGTAGAATTCTAGCTGTTCAGTGCACGGCTTTACGCATATTTGTGCACTGCTTTTCTTCAACGTGTTTCAGCACATCCCTGTTACATAGCTCCACTAATGGCACATACGCTCGACAGCTAAACATCAACCAGTTAATGTACGACCAACTGTGCATACCACAAATATATTAGATAACTGTATGAGATAATACACATGTACAAATGGCAGGGTGCTGATTACTGGTGAAGACCCCTGACCCTGGTAGAGTTTGGCCCTCTCCATCACATCATCATGACACATGTGTCTACTTATAGTAATCACGGGCTTATCAGAAGTATTTGTGTACATTTTCAATAACAGCACCAGGTGTGATAGGGATCTATAATTTAGCATAGGCTGGCACAACAATACACACGTCTGAAACTCATGGAGAAAAATGACCAGTCGGTTTGAAAGGGAAATATGAATTGAATTATTTTTACTAATTCTTTAAAATGTCTTTTATTCATGACGTCACTAATTTCTTTTGAAAAAAATAAAAGTTATATTTAAAAAAAACATAGGCCCACCCGATTCTTTCATAATACTGTCATACAGATACTTTTATGATACTTTGTGTATATATATATAACTATATATTACTGTATATAACTATATATAACTGTATATATATATATATATATTTATATACAGTAAACAACGGTTATAACGAACTCAAAGGGACTACTAATTTTAGTTCGTTATAACCGTAGTTCGTTATAAGCATATATACAGCATAACTGCAGCAAAAAGTCGGGACCAAAAAGTAAGTTCGTTATATCCGTCAGTTCGTTATAAGTGTGTTCGTTTTAACCGTAGTCTACTGTATAGATATATATATATATATACATTTACAATGCTACTTATGCCCCGTCCTTATCCTTAGTATAGTTAAAGAAGTAATGGCGTAACACGGTCACAGACTGTCGATAAGGGATCGAACATAAGTCTTATAAGTCGGACATATGCAGAGCCTTCATTTACATAGACACTGGTAGGCGTCGACCAAGGTGAGGTGAAATTGGGTTTAACGTCGCGTCCAAGATTATTGCACTTATATAGCGACGTGCATGTGCGTGTGTGTGTGTGGCTGCTTGTACTAGTCCGGACTGATGCCGATTTATAGTGCTAGCCGACTGAGATACCATGCCGCAGTTTAACATGAATACCCCACTCAGACACAGTATACTGAATCCGAGCCGACCAGTCCTTGTTTTAGCCCCTTAATGCCGAGCGCCAGACAGGGTAACGACAAGTACCATCTTTTAACGTCTTTTGGTATGACGCGGCCGGGGGCGTCGACCAAGAGTGTAAGTTATGGAATTCTGTTTGCACATTGTAAAATTTTATATATATATATAAAATGTAGCTGTATGACAATACTATAGTCAATCAGTCATGCATGACACATTAACTATAGTAACATGAAAGCATCGGGAGGTCCTTTACTATTTTTTAATATCATACGTATATGCTTACCAGCACTTATAGAGGTCCCTACTTCAAAAGCAATAATTATGCGGCTATATAAGTACAATTAGGCTTAGTTCATCTTGCTTCTTCTTAGTTCCTTTTCCTCTTATATATAGTACCTTTTTACCTAACTAAATCTGGCTGGATATAATTTTGCATGATAATGACTCCTTCATATTTGATTATTACCGAGTCTTTGTACATTATCTTTCCATTAACGTCTTTTACGACTGGATATATTTTTAATTACTATAAAAGATGTTATGTTGGTACATTAGTGTTGCTTTCGTTCATTCATGTTCAACAAACACGTAACATCATGAAGCTGCTACTAACGCGATTGTTACAACCCTCTATATGTAATCCTCGAATATTACAACATAATTATTATAGATCGTGACTGCTATTTATAATTATACACGTCGAGGCCATATTACATAACCCAATGGCATCACAGTCGCGTATTCCGCCCGGAGTGCTGTACCGGAACACCCCCTGGCGGTAGGTTATCTCCCCTAGGTGAAGACCATGTTTGAGACCTCATGGTATCAATGCGTTATCTGGGGCAAATCTAGCAATTGCGCGGGGACATCTTTCCGCATGTCAAGTAGCAGGATCGGATGTACTGGTTGACACAGAGGTTAGACGATGGTTTGAAATCAGCGACGGATGCATACGCCGTCATTTGCTTTGCATGGGTACGGGTGGACCAGTCGTCTAAGGTAATACGCTGTGTAGAGGTGCGTTCTTCGAGCGTACCAGGAACATATAATAGCGGGTTCGAATCCCAAGCTCGGCCTGATTGTGTTTCTGGTTATGACACCATAGCCGTGCTCTTGGATTTCACCAAAAAGGACACATGGAGCTGACACACTGTGATATAACTGAACTACTTCCACTTAATCTGACACACTGTGATGTAACTGAATTAGTTCCACATTAAGCTGACACACTGTGATATAACTGAATTACTCCCACATGAAGCTGACACACTGTGATATAACTGAAATACTTCCACTTAATCTGACACACTGTGATATAACTGAATTACTTCCACATGAAGCTGACACACTGTGATATAACTGAACTACTTCCACATGAAGCTGACACACTGTGATATAACTGAATTACTTCCACATTAAGCTGACACACTGTGATATAACCGAATTACTTCCACATGAAGCTGACACACTGTGATATAACCGAATTACTTCCACATGAAGCTGACACACTGTGATATAACTGAATTACTTCCACATGAAGCTGACACACTGTGATATAACCGAATTACTTCCACATGAAGCTGACACACTGTGATATAACTGAATTACTTCCACATGAAGCTGACACACCGTGATATAACTGAACTACTTCCACATTAAGCTGACACACCGTGATATAACTGAACTACTTCCACATTAAGCTGACACACTGTGATATAACTGAACTACTTCCACATTAAGCTGACACACTGTGATATAACTGAACTACTTCCACATTAAGCTGACACACAGTGATATAACTGAACTACTTCCACACGAAGCTGACACACAGTGATATAACTGACATATTTCCACACGAAGCTGACACACTGTGATATAACTGAACTACTTCCACATGAAGCTGACACACCGTGACATAACTGAACTACTTCCACATTAAGCTGACACATTGTGATATATCTGAAATTCTGCCACATGAAGCTGACACACCGTGACATAACTGAACTACTATCATAGTTGTGTTTGCCCTCAAATTACCAGTATAACGGCAACTGTTTTCAGCCTGGTAACGCTTTGATAACGTTTGTGGGTTTTTTAAGTAACATCAAAGTTTTTGGTGGATGCTTTCTATTGTGCGGTAAATTAAGACACTGAAAGAAATCCTTTCCATTATCAATTAAAAATAATATTAAAAAATCTAAATATTTCTTTCAATGTTCTAGGTATGTTGCATAAAACCTTTGAAAATGATACATCTATTTTACATAGTTTTGGGAGCAATGTTTCATGTTATAATGTGTTTGTTACAATATATTTGTTTAGTTGTTAAAGGTAACATTATCTAAATTGATAACAATGTAATGGAGACTGCCTCAGGTCTACATAGATAGGTACGAAGCAATGCGCGTTGGTCTGAAGTCCATCTTTAAGAACCTTGCATAAGCAAGCGGCATTTTACCAGATCACCACAGGCCTATTTATTGACAGTGTCGTCATTTGGTAATGACGTTTGTTAAAGTTGAGTATTAATGATATTAGGTTGTCAGCGCAATATTCCGGATGTTAAACGTGAACGAAATCACATTCATCATCTGAAGGTAAACATAAATACATCTCGTCCGCAAGCTGACACCCATGGCTA